CTTGAAAACTACATGAGGATTGTTGATTTACGACGTGGATCACACATCAGCTGTGGCGCAACACAGGAATCGATAGAGAATCACACCTTTCCTCATAAATACAAACTTGTCAAAAAGGTGGAAAATGGTGACGACGCCGTGGAAAAATGTACGATATGTTTATCTGAGTTTGAGGACTGTGAAAGTGTCAGAAGACTTCCTTGCATGCATCTATTCCACAAGGATTGCGTTGACCAATGGCTATGTACCAATAAACGGTGTCCTATATGTCGTGTGGATATCGAAATCTTTTTACATAAAGAACTTACTGCCACTGTATAGTTTAATATTTATTGTCATTGCTATGCAAATAATTTTGGTGTAGTTAGGATTTGGAAGAGTAATTATCACTCCAATGGACGTTATATACCATTATTGCATTTTTCTTTATTACCAAACTCATCTGATGCATAACTCCAACCATAACTGCAGTTAAATCCTTTTTTTTTCAATTGTATATATTTGGAAAAATTATTATATTTCTTTAACCACTCCAGTGAATAATGCGAGGCACAAGGAATCATTGAAAATTAGGATCAAATAAAATTGATTAAAAAATAGTCTAGTTAATTAATAGAGTATATTTTCAGTTCATTAGTAAGTGGTCATGGAATTTTTATTGTGAAAGCAGTATCAAGAAAAATAAATCCGAATTCATTATTGTAATTTTTCATTATATTTTTCACTTGATACATGATATTCATTGCATATTCCATATGATGAACCTTGAGAATCACCATCAAAATATGAATATAAATTTGATATAAATGTCAAAAGTAATATCAAATATTAATGGATATTGTAAAAATCCACGTGGATTGCATATCATGAGAAATTAAAGAAAAAAAATCTTCTCATTCCCCTATCTTCCTGTTTCTCTATGAGTTTTCTGAGAGAAAGAAGAACAGTGAGATCTTAAAATCTGTAACCACCTGAAAGCCAATTTTATAAACACTTGTTTTAAGAGTTTAGAGTTATTGTCACCGTATAATTAATATTTCTGAATAATCTAATGAATCAATGAACGGAATGAAACAACTCAAGTAGAATTATATAACGTGAACTGTGAAACAATTAGTATGTAAAAGGTGCTGATTTTATTTCTGCATGTATCCTTACACTCATACATATTGTTGTTGTTCTTTTTCTCTTTATTATTATTATTATTATTATTATTATTATTATTAT